TACACTCTTTGCACCCTGCCTATAAGATACCACCGTGGCTGAACAAAACCTGGGCTCATAACATTTATGAAGGAGGGAGGGAGGGACCTGGCTGACATCTACTAAGTTACAAAGTTACTTGTTCACTCATCTGTAAAATAGAGATAATAATGCCCATTTTCCAGAGTTGTTATGAGAATTAAATAATCAATGAGATGCTGTTTTATAAAATATTACATGAATAGCATTTTAATACAAGGTAGACTGCTAAAGGCATTATAGTAGTCAGAGATGAAAATACAGTGCTAAAAAGAATAAAGGAAAGGTCATTAATTCCCCCCAAGAATTGGAGCAAAAAAAAAATGTATCAACAAAGACTTAATAAAGAAAGCAGTATATGGCTGAGGAATGAGTAGGTTTTAATAAGCAGAGATAGAAAACCTACTTTCTATATTTACTCTATGGAGAATGTGTGTGTGTGTGTGTGTGTGTGTGTGTGTGTGTGTTTGCGTGTGTGTTTGACTTGACTCTTCACCAGGATGTCACTTTGTAAGGACAGGAATTTCTGTATGTTTTGTTCATAGCTGTATTCTCAGTACCAATAATAATGTCTGGGACATGCCTGGAGCTCAGTAAATATTTATTAAATGAATAAATGATAATGAACCAATAATAATGAATGAATGAATGAATGGAGGAGACTGGGGATATCAGATGAAATTTTATGAGTGAAAGCATAGACAAAACATAAAAAACAGTATGGATTTGGGGAGCTTGGGCTTGGGGAGACCAGGTTGCAGAGGAGAGGAGACAGGGTATCCAGGAAACATGAATGCAAATGCGGTGGCTGGTAAGTAGCCTCGTGGGCTCATGGACTTTAGATCTCATTTGCATGGTTGATTTGCAGAATTTTTGAGTTTTCAAACTAAAGCCCCCAGTATGCCATCTTTAGGTGAAACTGAAGGGAAAATGCTCCTCCTTAAAACATTGAAATAAAATGCCCTAAGACAGACCTAATAACCAATCATCCAAAGTCCTCCTCTGCACAACATGGGTCTTTGACAACATGTGACATTCAATGACAGTGAAGGAAAAACTATGTTTGTAATTATAGTAAAGATGAAAACTATGGAAATCATCAGGAGCATCTGAACTCAAAATGCCAGTGAATATTAGTCATGTTATTTGCATAGAAACGTGGCATTGCTGTAGATATTGGTTAAATGCTGAAATAGATGAATAACAGATAAAGTGCCACTTTTAAAATTATAAAATAAAAGTGTAATTGCCTTATCTTTCAGAAAAATCTCGCTCTTAAAGGCATTTAATAATTGAAGGGAAACTGAAAATAAGTTGGATGTTAAAGACAAAATTTCAGTCAGTACATCATGGCTTTTTTTACAAATGTTAAGAAATTATCACCTAATCAGTATCTGTGATAATGATCTGTAATCTTACCAGTGTGAGATTGATGATAAATACCAAGTGCTGATTTTTTAATAACATAAAAATACAGATATACAACATATTCTCAAGTAGATGTCATCCAGTCCTCTTTAATGGGAAGTCTTTACAGTTCAGCTATTGTAAGATAATTCAAATAAAATCTCCTTTAAAGTGTCATTTTAATGCAAATAATCTAGCAGCAGACTTTTAAACTATTGGTACCCAAAGCTTATTTCTATCTAAGGCTCAGATAGCAGCAGTGTTTGAAATAATTGAATTCGTGTCTAATTACATAACGACTAATTTAGAACCTCATTTATTTGGAGAGTCTCTGGCATAGCATATCCATTTAAAATGACACACTAGAGCAGGTAATTAAAAATTAAAGTTGAAATCAAGATGAAAAAGGCAAGATTAAAACTGGTTTCCACAGCTCTGATTAGCTGAGAAGGGAGGTGAAATGGGGCAGGGGCTTAATAGACTTTCTAAGAGGCAAAGAGAAGCAGGGTGATGGAGTGCAGCCATCTGCGGCACCGTTGCTTTTCCTAAAATGTTTCCAGTATATATGTCCAGTCGCAGAGCTGACCACATGCAACTAGGCGAGGTGACTTGACTGAGTATGGATGAGTGCTTGGAAGTCCCTTCCCATCCCTCCTGTCCTGGAAGGAAATGCCAATCCTGGCTAATAAACAGGAGACACTGTGCCCAATAAGCCCCAGGGCCGTTGTACATGAGTGCATCTAGTCTGTTTCCAGCAAGCTCCTTGGCATAGCAAGCTCATGAAGTTGCTTTAGCAGTCATACACACACACACACACACACACACACACACACACACAGAAACACACACACACAGACACACACATAGACACACAGATACACACAGACACACACAGACACACACATAGACACACACAGACACACAGACACACACAGACACACACAGACACACAAACACACAGACACACACACACACAAACACACACACACACACACACACACTCAAAATGGTCTTTGATAATGCATTTTTCAGTTTGCAAATGGTTTTTACATACATAATCTCACTACATCTTCAGACCAGCCCAAGAAAGAGCAAACACTTTTACTACACCCATTTTATAAGTAAAAAATTGAGGTCCTGAAAGATTAGGTAACAAACCTAAGATATAACACATCTAAAGTGCTAGGGCTATAAGTCAAAACTTTTGGCTCCAAATCACAAAATGCACCATCTCCCTGTTGGTTAACACTTTGTTTCTTTCACTCTTGCTAGATTTTTCTTTCTCTTTTCTCCTTCTTCATTTCCTTTAACCTATTCCCTCTCCATTTCTTTCTTTTTCCTCCTTTCCCTTGCCATTTCCTGCTCATTTCCTCTCTCTACCACTAACCTCAGAGAATCTAACCTCAACCAGATGTTCTCAGATCTGAAGAGTGATGCAGAAAGTTTGTTTCTGAGGTTGTTTCTGCTACAAAAAAGCATCAGCTCCTGATAACTAGTTTGGGGAAATGGAAGTACCTACAGGGTAGATTTAAGTACTTTTCCAAATCCTCCTGTTATTCCAGAAAATAAGGGTCCCATAGGTCCTTAAGTTCACATGGAGGGGGTTGATCTATGAAAGAATCCCATATATTGTGTCCCTGCTCTGAGCCCCAGGAAGCAAGCCTCTCTCTACTCCTGCACCAGTAAGACAACTCAGACTGTATACAGAAAGACCACTTATAACATTTTGCTAAATCTAGATCATTCTCTTGAGATTATATAAATATATATTGACTGAACTATAAAGCAAACTTCCAGGCTTCTATTCCTCTCTCAAGGACCAAATAGCTCATAAGTGGGAGTGATGACTATCCACAGCAGTGTTTCTCAAAGCATGGTCCCTGAGCAGAAACATTAGCATCAACTGAGAATGACTTAATTAATTAGAAACTCTGGGGGTGGGGCCCAGCAATTTGTGTTAATAAGCCCTACAGATAATTTTGATGCTGGTTGAAGTTTGGAAACCACTGGTCTAAGCATAGTTGCATGGGAACAGCCCTGCACTAGGAACTAGGACATGTGGGACTTAGTCCTGGTTAGGTCCCTCACTCACCTAAGCATGTGGGTAAATTGTGTCCCTTCTCCAGTCCTCATTTCCTCACCCATCGAATAATGTAGTCTTCCTTGGTAAGTGCCAGGCAATCTTCTCTCACGCATATTCTGTGAGCCTTCATGGAGTACGGTGTGAGGCAGCAGTGGAGCAAGGCTCCCAGCCCAGATCATCAATGTGATTTCCTCTTACTCCCCTATAATCTTGCCTTGTTAAAGTCTTGAAGTTTATTCTCCAAGAGAATACACTTACAATATAGTGTTACAATATAGTTGAACTTAGGAGTCGGTGCCTCAGCTGTCACCTGTATCATGGTTCATATGTCAGCTAAATTGGGACATAGAATAGTTGGTTTTTGAAGTGACCAGGATCTGGAAACAAGGGGTAGGCTGGCACCAGTGGACCAAATTAATAAAGACAAACTTCATCCAATTCCCAATTTTACTTAGGTCTGGCCCCAACTCTGTTAGATCGAAATGTGGAATTTGGGGGTGGGAAGGTAGTTATAAGATGTGTTGCTATCTTCCCCTCTTGCTGCACTAAATAGAATATTTACTAGAGAGATTGCTGTATATAAAAAGAAGCTAACAGCCTCGCAGAGGTTGATTTATTAAAAATCTGGTTGTCATTCTGAGTCATTTGGGCTGATGCATTGTTAGAAATATTCAGTAAACGTCAGGCAGAAAAGGGTCCTCTGTGAGACTGTCCTTTGACACCCATCAATAGGAACACCCCCTTCAGCCACCACTTGTTTATGGAATCCCTACCATGTGCAAGAACCAGGGATGCAGGAATTGAGTAAGAAATAGTCCCTTCCCTTGTGGAGTTGACAATGCAGCAGGAAGAAAGTGTTGCCTAAGTGTAATGAGTGCTAGGAGGAAATGTTATGGGAGCAAAGTCAGGAAAACTCATCCAGTGCCAGGACCGTGTATTAGCAGAGACAATGGCCTTGGGGACAAGATGGCTGCATTTCTTACCCTAGCATATCTGCTGGGTGCAGCACACACCCGCCGAGAACTGTGGCTCTCTCAAATGATCAGGGGAAGACAACATCCTCCTCAGAGGAGTGCTCCCCACCTCTCCCCTCCCTTCCTCCAGAGTTGCTCCAGTGGAGGGGGGCTGGGATAGGCATGGATATGTCAGGATGCAGGAGGAAGGATCAGCGTGAATTTTGTAACTGTAGCCTGACTTTACTTCCCACGACCTATTATTTTTAGCTATGAACCTGGTTACTCTCTGTTCTAATATTCACAAAACGCACAGGTCTTAAAAGAATACCCTGTGAAATAGGTCTTGTTAATCACATCCCATCACACACAAGCTAGCGACTTCTTGGTAACTACGTGTATGTCAAGGCAAGGCTGCGATGGAGCCTGGGGCTGGAGTCTCCTTCCACCACCTGCTTTGTGGACATCTCCCCACAACCATCCTACAACACGACGTTCAGAAGAAAGGGCGCCAAGTACAAAGCCAAGTGCACACTTACTGTCGTCCTCAGCAACACGACATCTGCTTCTTGCAAGGAACACGGGATGCAGTTTGCCCACACATGCCAAGCGGGTCTCCAGTAAAACACCAAGGGAAGGATCCCGAATGAAAAGACAGATCCAGCAAGGCAGAGGGTTTTCCTGCAGCTGTGAGTCCGGTAGCCAAACATCTCCTAGGGCAAAACCAAAATGACCCCAAATATTTTTTAAGCACAATAAGCAACAAATGAACAAATTTGGATTTTGATGATGAAACTGAGGGCAAAGAATAAAGTTGAGCAAGATGAGGGGAAGACAGGTTGAGGGGTTGAGAGAGTGGAGAAGGACCCCCCCCCCCAACGAAGTGTAAGACATGAAGTCACCATCTAACTGGGAAATTCAATTTCTACAATTTGAGCATCCGGTTACCCCATGCTGAGCACCGTGCTACGTGATGTGTTATCTTGTTTAAATCTCACAATCATCACCTGAATGGGATACTAGTACCCTCATTTCGTAAATGATGAGACTGAACACAGAAAGGCTGAATGGAATGACTTGTCAAGGGCCCCGAAGCTAGGAAGTTCGGCTGCCAAGATTCAAACTCAGGTCCGCCAGGCTCCAAGTCTTGAGCTTGATTCACAGCCTTCACAGACATGACCGTGAGTCATGTGACAGGAGCTGATGGCAGCAACCAATGATCCTCTTGGCTAGGACCAGCAGCTTCATGGGCAGGCCTTGACTTTACACCCATGATTTGGTAAAAGTGTTTGGTCACAAGAGGATGACCAGCTAAATACCAAATTGCCTTTGGGGATTTGGGGTAGAACTATACATTCTCACCCTCCTCTCTTGTTCAATTACAAAAATAATTTTACAGCAAAGGGAAAACTCATAGAGACTGTTTGGTTTACTTCGACTCATGCCTATTGAGCACCTATTATGTGCCATGAGGGGATATGAGACCATGGAGGATACAGATATGAATGGGCTAAGAGTATTACCTCTAGTAAATTTATAATCAGAAGAAACTTCTTCCTTCCAAGTAAAGCCTGGGACAGAATAGAAAACCATCCCTGACGTTGATGGCCTCAATCCCACAGCTATATCCCACAAAGCCATAGGTATGCTTTATACTGGTTATAATAGATCAAAAGAGAAGAAGTAGAGAGTCCTGGTTAAAAGCACATTCTCTGAACCAAGACACTTTGGGCTCAAAGCCTAGCTCTGCCACTCACTGGGTGTGACCTTGAGCAAGTTATTTAACCTCTTTATTCCTCAGTGTGTTATCCATAAAATGGGCATGGTGATAGTACCCACATCATAGGGTTGCTGTAAAGTTTAAATTAGTTAATAATGTGTAAATGCTATGTAAGCATTTACTGCTACTACTACTACAACTACTACTAGTAGTAGTATTTTCTCATTTCCCCAAACATAGACCTGAAATTCTGCCCCCTTCTTTATTGGCATTTAGGCCTAAGAATTCTTGGTGTCAATAGTGCCACTGTTGTTAGAATTGCCTGGTAGGACAACAGGGAGCTGGGACATGCAACATTAAATCCACCAATGTCTCTATCTGCCTTGATAAAGATCACATATCAGAAAAGGTCTGTGATCCTTGGCTGACAGCTGCTTTCATGAGTAGTTATTAGGCTCCTCCCTCTCATTAGCAGCACAGGCAGGTGCTAAATGGCTTCCGTAGGTCCTATCTGCATTTGACATGCCTGTGATAAAATGTTCACATTAACTCAGAAACACAAGCTCTTGACTTAGTTTCCAAACTACAATGTCTATCCTGACATGAAAACTCTTCTGTCCCAAGCCCAAGCCATTGCCCTCCAGATGTCAAGCCTGGCTCTGTTCCCTCATCACACCTGAAGCAATCCTTTGTTGATCTCACATTGAGCAGGGTCCCAATCCTAAATTCCACTCCTGCCCTGAGTTCATCTCACCATCTTTCTCCATGTGCTTTTTTTATGTTCTGACACTTTGGAATAGATCAACTTTTGCCATCTAACCAAACCATTTTATCACCTTTTTTAAATACTGTATTTAAAAGCTTCCTTATATCGCCATCAAGCCTCATGTACTCCTTCTGAGTTCACCAGCTCTATAGCACAAGCCTTCCTCTTACCATGCATGCTTTTACAGGCTATGTAATGAGAGCCCTCTGCAGTTTCCCAAAAAGTCTTCATGTTCATTATCAAAATAAGGTAAGAATTATTATTTTCATTTTCCAGATGAAAAAAACTGAAGAGTAAAGTTATACGTAATAGTTATTATTAGCAACTATTTGGTAACAATGATAGCAGCTAACATTTACTGAATGCTTAAAAGCCCTTTACCAGTTTCTTTACACGTACTGTCCCATTTAGTTGAAAAACATTAAATAAGTTTCCCAAGGCTTAAAGCTTACCAGTAACTCAAAAGTGGTGTCCAGTCTAGATCTTTCCAGCACATGGAAGATAATGTGAGCTAGCCATTTCTACTTTTCTTCATTCTGTCTTGAATTTCGGTTAATTTAACAAATGGTTGTTAAGTGTCCACCAAATAGCAGGCTTGTGTTAGATGCAGAGATAAGTGAGATTATGTCTCTGGCCTCAAGAAGATCATTTGTGGGAAGGAAACACATAAGCACGTAAGGTTAAACAAAGTTAGAGCAATAGAAAGGTTATATAAAGGAATAACTATATAAATTGTCATCTGGATGGGATGCTATTGATAACACTGGAACCACAAGGAGACCAGCAGTATCCCAGGGAGGCCAGGTGAATACTCCTTTAGTTATAACAGAGCGTTACTCTAAAAGTTTGCCTGCTCTCAGTCCTGTGGACACTACAATATCAGTTTGTAGTTCATGACCCATAATCCATTGCCAAATTTTTACTAAAAAGGCTGGAATAATGTGGAAAATGAATATTTAATTATTGCTCATTGAAGTGAGTTGACCTGTACACATTTGAAGCGAATGGTATTACAGGGACCATTACTAGACACTGAATTTAAAATTGCAAAAATTAGCATGGTGCTGTTTATTATCACCCTGTAGCAATTTATGTCCTACCTTATGGAGTTCCTTTCATGTCCCTGAATAGGCTTGAGAGAACTATCCCAGCTACTCTGCACTCCACCCACCCTAATCTCCCAAGGAAATCAAATTAGCCAAAAAAAAAAGAAGAAAAAGAAGAAGAGAGAAATAGGGAGAAGGAGCAGGAATATGAGAGCTCCAGCATTCTAAGAAGAGCATAGCTATGCCAAAAAGAAAAAAAGAATACTGGAAAAATGTCAAAAGAATATTACACTCATGGCAGTCTACATGCATTACAAAATAGTACACTGCCCCCTTTTTTTTATCTCCCTCCTACCAGCAGATTCTTCTCCTCTCTGTCGCTGGCCATCTAGATCTTTTGCATCCTGAAGGGCTTAAGCTTTGGCTTCCGGGTGTCGAAGCCTTCTCCCTGCAGAGCCTATACACTCAACAAGTCAAATTACACTCCCCAAAGCAATGGTTTAAACTTTGTTACTAAACACTTGTTAAAGCCAACAGAACCCCTTAAGAATCTATAGACTCTCTCCCCAGAAAAACACACAGAGACACATACACATAAACTTCTCCATAGAGATTCAAGGGGTTCCCAGAATCCAGATAAGACCTAA